ACCTTCTAGATACTCATTACGTGTTACCAGCATCACGTGACTTCCGTGTGCTTGGCATTTTACACTTAGCTGTTGGGACTTTCACAATTGAGGTTGGTAGGCATCCATCAACACGAACCACTACAGGTTTCTTTGAGGGTGACTTATTGGTAATATTCTTCTTACACTGGCTCCTCATATGTCCTTGCTCTCTACAGTTCCAACAATCTTTCTGGGTAGCAGCCTTTTCTGCCGTGGCATATTCCCTGTGTTTAAGTTGCCATCATTGAGCTCTCTTGTGCCCAGGCTTATTACAGTGCCAGCAAAGTCCCTCAAACTTCTCCAAAAGCTGCCCTCTTCTGGCCTTGAATCCCAATGACTGTACCAACCTTGGTACCTCTGTGCTGGACTTAATGTACGATTCAAATTCAAGAGCTCTGGCCATTGCATCTTGTAAAGTAGAGAGGTGTGCTTGCTTTACTTGTATCTTCAGTTGTGGACTGTCCAAGGCATCTACAAACTGATCCTTCAGCAACAACTTGAGGAGATCGGGTGGTGCAGTTGGGTAGGCCTTGTGTGCCATACTTTCCAAGTCCTGTGCCAGCTCTTGCAGCTCTTCCCTTCAGCACGGACTCTAGTCCTAAACCTAGCCCTGTAGACTTCGGAGTGATTTTGGGTTCCATACCCGAGTTCTAGAGCAGCTACCAGTGCTCTATAGTTGTGCCTGTCATCTGCTGACAACTGTCCAAGTATTTCCAGTGGTTGTCCCTTCAGGCTAGGTACACTGCTTTCTGATCCTCTGTCCATCCATTCATTTCTGCCAGTAGCTCAAATTGTGCTCTATATGCTTCCCACGGTGCCTTCCCATCGAATTCCTGTGGCTTCCTTCATACTAGATCACCCCTATTGCTGACATTCATATCTGGGATGTTACTTCTTACAGGACTGAAGATGTCTGCATTAGGGTTTAGCTGCAGGGTCTAGAAGGGGCTTCCCGTTGTCTGGGGCTGATTAAGTCGATGGTTAATGTATCCTCCTTGTGTAAAAGACAATAAAACATCCTTTAATGTATTTAATTCGCTTTGAAATTTACTAATGTTTTCCATTTGTACTTTTTGCCACTGTTGTTGACTTTCCTGTAGTTGCTGCTGACTTTCCTGCAACAATTGGAGACTTTCTTCCTGTTTCGTTTCTTGTTCTGGTTGCCACTGCTGTAATCTCTCTTCTTGTTTATTTTCTTTCTCCTCCAACTACTGCTGTAGCCTCTCTTCTTGTTTCTTTTCTCTCTCCTCCAACCACTACTGTAGTCTCTCTTGTTTATTTTCTCGTTCTTTTTGTTTCCTTTCTTTTTCCTCCAAAAACTGCTGTAATCTCTCTTCTTGTTTCTTTTGCTGTTCGAGCTGCCACTGTTGCAGGTTTTCCTGCCACTGGTGTAATCTCTCTTCTTGTTTCTTTTCTCGTTCTTCTTGTTTCTTTTCTCGTTCTTCTTGTTTCTTTTCTTTTTCCTCCAACCACTGCTGTAATCTCTTTTCTTGTTTATTTTCTCATTCTTCTTGTTTCTTTTGCTGTTGTTGTATTGCTGCCATCAAATCTGCTTAACTTAAACACACTCTATAATTCACAACGATTCACGCACGTTACTTACGGTGCCCGCTTGACTCGATTATCCGTGTCTATATCTTCAATCTCTCTATATGCAACTATGTTCTTCCCGCTTTATTTGCCAGTCTTATATATACAAAATAGAGGCATCTCGAGCCTTCAGGAACCTTCTAGATACTCATTACGTGTTACCAGCATCATGTGACTTCTGCTTTTGTAACAATATGTTAGAGACCAGTACATATAAAAAAGTTAAGAACAACCCTACTAATAAGTATCATGAACTTCTAAAAACAAGTGTTAAAAACTGTTTAACTTTAACAGACGTAGAGAAGAAATGATTAATTCCATATTGTTTTATTACTCCGAGATTTTATGTACTTCCAAAAGTACATGAAATTAATAACAGTTTTAGACCAATAGTATCAAGTATAGGTACTTCATTGTATCAAATAGCTAAGCATGTAGCCCAAAAGTATTCGTTTTTGAGAAATAAAATAAATATACAGTTAAAAATGATTCAGAATTTGTAG